GGTAGTGTCAGAGAGTTCTGTTGGCTTCTTTTATGTAGTCTTCACAGTTAAGGATAACTATAGCTCCTCCTTTATCTGCTGCTTTTATCACTATTTGGTGGTTGGATATTGGAGATACTGTGACTCTCCCTTCTGAGAGGAAGAGGTTGTAGTGGTGCTTGTTGCTGAGTATTTCATTGTTCATTCTTTCTCTGAAGCAGTCAGTATAGTGGTCAAGGTTTGAATTTTGTCAACTGTAAGGTGTCCAATCTGAGGGGGTTTGGGATTTTTTTGGCATCAATTTTTTCAGCAATGTTGTTACCAGATGAATTTGGGTTGAAAGTGGATTCCTTTTGGTTGTAGAAATATGCCTTCAGATGGAGGTGTCAAAAAAAATCTAGCTCCCCACATTGTATCTTATTCAGGTGTTTTTTCTGGACAAAAATTAAGGCCTTTGGAGAGGACAGGTTTTTCAGCTTTGGTAAGTGTGTGTGTGTGGAGAAATTGACAGTATTAGAGGATTGATTGGTTACTTCTGTTTCATCAAGTATGATGCTGAAATATTGTATGGTATTGGTGTTGATCTTGTGAAGGTTGTTTTGTGGCTGGGAAAGTTGTTCCTGTACTAATTGGTTCCATTTTTTCTTTTTGTGTTAGATGGATAGTGTAATAAATCTTTAGCCTTTTTTGTATACTTTGTATAATGTTTGGGAAGATATCCGGATTCATCTCTTGTAGGTTCTTGTAGCATCTGTTGATTTCTGTTTTGAGGTGATTTCTTTTGGAGTAGAGTATGTGAAGGAGATAATTTCTAAATTTTTCTGAAGTTCTTCTGCGGAAACATATCTGGAGTTGTGAGTGGTAGTCAGGTTATTGGTTGTAATTCTATGCTTCCCCCTTCAGACTCCAGGCTGTAGAATGGCACTCGGGGAAAAAAAAGGCAGTATGTATGTGAGGTAGAGGGGCAGGGTTGCCAACTATCAGCCTATTTACTGACCGTCAGTAAAAAAATCAAGCTAAAAATGGCTGTCAGTAAAGCCTGTAAAAAAGGTTTAGCTATCAGTAAAAGCACAAAGCAACCAAAGCTTGATTGAAACTCCAGCAGACAGCACAGCAGTGCCAGTTGGTGTCTGAGTGGGAGTGCAGCAGCCTGCAGGAAAAGCTTGGTACGAGGTTCAGTTTTTTAACCCAGAACTTTTTACAAAGATCCTTTGCCCACATAATGCAAGCTGATTATTAGCATTCTGAAGGCCTCCATGAAAAACAGACCTCCCTGCACTAGGTGTTGTGTACACCACAAGGAAGAAAGAGTCCCTGCTCAGCAGGTGTAAGGCTAGAGAGTGGGCTGAGGAGGGCAAGCATGATGCAGGGTACAATTAGGGCATCAGGGGCACCTAGTGGGGAGAGGAGAAACACAGTGTAAAACCATCACTGCTGTGAAGCAGGGTTACCAACCCAAGAACATTTTTTTACTGCAAACTTTTTATTGACAACCAAACTACTTCACTTTTTTACTATGATTGATGTTAAACTACATTTGAACCCAGCCCTTTTAACTGGGGCCTAGTTGCAGGGTGGGGTCTGGCAGAAGAGTTCCATTTATAATATGTAAAGCATATATCAGTAATACCATGTACCAGTAAAAAAGTTTGGCTGTGAGTAAAAAGTCTGCAGATTGCCAGTAAAAAAAAATTCTTGGGTTGGCAACACCGTGGAAGAGGTAGCAGACAGCTCACTGGACTGGGTCTCCAGAGACTGGAGTTCTGCTCTCAGTTCTGTCCATGACACTTCTCTCTCACACTTCATCTCTTGTCATTTTTTAATTTTGGGGCAGGGACACTTTCTTCCTCATGTTGTATACAGCACAAAGTGCAGGGAGCCATGGTTTTTATTGGGGTCTTCAGATTGCAAATAATCAGCTTGCATTATTTGGGACAAGGATCCTTGTAAATAGAGCTGGGTAAAAGGAACCAAACTTCATGCCAAATTTCCCCCAGAAATTATCCATTTTTCCCTGGCCCATGTGACGAGTGTAGCTTGGCATTCCAGCTCCTGGGCTGGCTTTGTCAGGAGAAGAGGTTGAAAACAAACCAGTTCAGAGCAGAAAATTACAAAGTTCCATTCTGTCTCTCTCTCTCTTGCACGCGCACCCCCCCCCATTGGCTCATTTTAACTATTCAAAACCAAATGCAAAGATCCATCTTATTAGTTATTATGAACATGATGTACAGTGATGCTAGAGGGCCTGAACCAAGCCTCATTAGAAGACAGCCCCCTGGTCAAAGAGCTTACAGCCTGAGGATACTTCTACAATGAAGTCAAAAGTGTGACTATAGCTGGTGTAGCCAGACCTGAGCAAGCTTTCAACCAGCCAGCTCAGATATCATTAACAATGTGGCCACAGCAGCACAGGCTGGCTGTCCATGTATTCAACCAGGGCCCTGAGTCCTGTGCTGCCATGGCTACCTATTCTGGTAGCGGAGCTGCCTATTTTAAAGCTAATCCAGGTTTGTCTCCACAACCTATGCTTGGATTGTAGACCAGTGGGCAGATATAGCCTTAGTGGCAAGGTACAGCAGAGAGGGGAGCCCAAGGAAACAATAAGAAGACATTGCTGGGCAGTGCCGAGCCAGACCCCAGCAAAGGGGAGAGCCTGTGAGGCTGAATGAGGACTGCAAGTTACCCTTTCGGAGTTTGGCTTTGCAGTAGGATTTCTGTGTGCACCAAAAATGGGTCTATGCATCATGTAAGACCATTGTACCCTTGTGGCAGAAGATAATTGTGCTTGCACAGCACCTGCCGTTCCTGCCAGGCAGGTTGCATGCTCAGAGAGGGCAATAGTGGGTTTCTTCACTGTTTCTAGGGGGAGGTTTTAGGTATTGTTTTTCCTCCCAGTAGCTAAAAATATGTAATCAGGTCTGGCCTTTGAAACCACCAGCAGAGAGGACATAGGATCTTAATATGTATGTGTGTGTCAATACAATTGTCACTTAGAAAAAGGGGGACTGGGATGATGAAGGATTTTAGCATTTAGAGCTCATTAAGCTGATACAATGCTGAGCGGCAGGGCACTATCAATTTACAACACTGTTCTGCATCCTCACCTTGGCTTTCCAAGTAAGCCAACAGTGTCCCTCCCTTTACTTCAGCCTTCCAGCTCTGCCTGCACAGCAGGGTTATTGCAGTTGAGCTCTAGCCACTGCATTCCATGCTGGCATCAGAAAGCCCTTTCCTATTCAGTCGGCTTCCCTTTGGCTCCCAGCTTCCATCACAGCATCTCTTCTGCCCCTTTTGGGTACACCATCTTCCAGGAAGGATGAAGGTCCTTCACCTTTGCATGATCTTTCCCAGCCTTGCAATGACAATGACAGCTACTCCATACAGTGCAGGGACCTGGCTTTAAAATATCTGGTTCTTGAAAAACGGGATCCAGCTGATGAGCCAAAAGGGGCTCTCTGGGGGTGCACTGCACACAGCAGGAGAGCCAAAGAACTCAAGTTGTGAAGCTAGCTATCTGCCAGGCTTTATTGTAAAGTGGATAGAAAGCTGGCTGGATCATCAGGCACAACGGGTAGTGATCAATGGCTCAAGGTCTAGTTGGCAGCCAGTATCAAGTGGAGTGCCCCAGGGGTCAGTTCTGGGACTGGTTTTATTGAATATCTTCATTAATGATCTGGAAGCTGGGGTGGAGTGCACTCTCAGCAAGTTTGTGGATGACATCAAGCTGGGAGCAGTAGTAGATATGCTGGAGGATAGAGCTAGGATTCAGAATGACACAGACAAATTGGAGGGTTGGGCCAAAAGAAATCTCATGAGGTTCAGTAAAAAGTACAGAGTCCTGCACTTAGGATGGAAGAATCCTATGTACCGGTACAGGCTGGGGACCAACTAGCTAAGTAGCAGCTCTGCAGAAAACGACCTGGGTGCTACAACGGACAATAAGTTAGATATGAGTTAACAGTGTACCCCTGTTGCCAAGAAGGCTAACGGCATACTGGGTTGCATTAGTAGGAGCATTGCCAGCAGATCAAGGGAAGTGATTATTCCCCTCTATTCAGCACTGGTGAGGCTACATCTGGAGTACTGTGCTCCGTTTGGGGTTCCCCACTACTTAAAGGATGTGGACAAGTTGAAGAGTGTCCAGCGGAGGGCAGTGAAAATGGTGAGGGGGGCTGGGGCACATGACTTATGAGGAGAGATGGAGGGAACTGGGCTCATTTGGTCTTCAGAAGAGATGACTGAGGGGGGATTTTCCAAAGAGGATGCAGCTAGACTGTTCTCAGCGGTGACAGATGACAGAACAAAGAGCAGTGGTCTCAAGTTGCAGCAAGGAAAGTTTAGGTTGGGTATTAAGAAAAACTTTCTTACTAGGAGGGTAGGGAAGCACTGGAACATGTTATTGAGAGAGACGGTGGAATCTCCATCCTTGGAGGTTTTTAAGGCTCAGCTCGACAAAGCTTTGGTTGGAGTGATGTAGTTGGAGATGGTCCTGCTTTGAGCAGGGGTTGGACTAGATGACCTCCTGAGGTCTCTTCCAACGCTCATTTTCTATGATTCTATGATTGTGCCCTCTCAGAATACAGAAAAGACAAACTTCTTGCAAAGGATTCTGGGTAGTATAGTCCAGCAGGCTGTCTCTTGTACTAAGGACTGTTATTAGACCCATGCGTGTGTAATTGCTTCATGAGACTCAGAACTTCCTGTGGTATTTAGTTGTCTCCAGTTATCAGCGTAATCTGATTGCCAACACTTGAGCAGATTTGTTAATTGCCTGCAAACACCTGAGCCCTGTCTAGAGCAGGGCAGCAGTATGTGTGTATATATGCATATGTGGGAATGAGTGTGTATGTTCACACACATGCATACACACTGAGCCATCTCACCAGCCACTGCTGTAATTTTCCCATCCCAGCTTCATCATCACCAGCTGCCCCAGTACTTCAGTGGAATGGCTTTGCTGTCTCTAGGTGGGTCTCCAACTTTGCAGCATACCTGATGCTCTCTGTCTTCTCTTGTTGCAGGTACATCCAAGGGGCTTCCTCTCCAAAGGACATGGTGATCATTGTGGATGTGTAAGTGATGTTAGGGAGAAACCTGTAGGAAACACTTCCTCAACTCCATCTTCCTTTTAGGGCAAGGGGTATTTGATTAAATTCTCACATGAAGAAACTGCAAGTGGGTATAGCAATATGAGTCTTTCCCCAGTGGAAGGCTGTGTGGAGAAGTTGCATAGTATTATTGCTCATTCCAGTATAACCTCTTTGGTCTCCTGCTTGCAGGAAGTGTTCTCTGCATAGAAATTTGGGCCCTGCAAGTCAAGAATGATGTGAACAGTTTCAAAGGAGTCCAATGCAGAGCAACAAAAATTATTAGGGCCCATAAGACTGATGAGGAAAGGCAGAAAGAAGAGGTTATTGAATCTGGAGAAGAGAAGACTGAGCGGGGACTATAGCAAGGATGGACTATAGCATGCTTTTCTCCATGCCTGTAGGGTACAAGACTAGGAGCAACGGTCTCAAGCTTCACCAGGGGAAATGCAGGTTGGGGATTAAGAGGAACTTTCTGACTATGAGGGTGGTCAAACATTGGAACAGGCTACCTGGAGAAACTGGAGAATCTCCATCTCTGGAAGTTTTCAGAAGCAATTTGGACAAACACTTGGCTGGGATGGTTTAGTCGGGGGCAGTCCTACCCTGAGCAGGGGACTGAACTAGATGACCTTATGATGTCCCTTCTAGCCTGACTTTATTATGATCGTAAGGCAGGTGGAGGATAATGTTACAGCATCCTTCCGTGTTCATTGTCTTGAGCCACATAGCAAGCTCTATGCCTTCTGCTTCCCCAGGAGTGGCAGTGTCAGTGGTCTGACCCTGAAGCTGATGAAGACATCGGTCTATGAAATGCTGGACACCCTTTCCGATGATGACTACGTCAATGTTGCTTCAGTGAGTACCTTCTCTGGGGTGGGGAGAGAACAGAGGAGGATGGGAATGGGATGGAAGATCATACTGTGGCTCAACTGGGTGTGGTAAGCTTGATACAGGGATCTTGGAGTTCCAGCCTCTATTGTGCAAGAAGTTGGACCAGAATGGCCTTAACAACTTAGAATCTATGAATTATGTGTTTGTTAAAGAGGTAATGGATAGCCATGATGAAGAGAGCATTTTCTATGCTGTCATGATGGCATGCTCCCATATGAGCCAGGAGGTGCTCTTTCCTTTACCTACAATTTCAGAAAACTGCCATAAGGACCTGGCAAGCTGCTCAAGGAGAAATGTGCCAGGGTGGCAGCCTGTCCCAGGAATATCAGGGAGTTGCTAATCAAAGGGGAGGCAAAGAGGAAGTTTTTTACAACTGGAGTTTGATACAGCAAAATCTTCCTGTCTGTAGTTAAATGGACAAGGACTGATTGCTCACACAGTGGATAAGCAGAGGTTAAACTAGCACAATGGAAGCCTGAGCTGAATTCTTACCCTAAGCTCCAGTCCAATCTGGAGCCTTATCATAGAATCATAGAATCAATGAGTCGGAAGGGACCTAGACAGATCATCGAGTCCGACCCCCCGTCATGGGCAGGATTGAGCACTGGGGGTGGGAGGGGTCATAAGACCCCAGCCAGGTCCCTATCCAGTCTGCTCTTGAAGATTTCCAGGGAAGGTGAGAGCACCACCTCTCTGGGAAGCCTGTTCCAGGCTGTGGCCACCCTTACAGTGAAGTAGTTCTTCCTAATATCTAACCTAAACCTATCCTCCCTCAGCTTGTGGCCATTGTTCCTGGTGACTCCAAGGGGGGCCCTGGTGAACAGACTTT